CCTGGAACTCTCTATAGACCAGGCTGGTCTTGAACTCACAGAAATCTTTCTGCCTCCCGAGTGCTGGGATAAAAGGTGTGTGCCGCTAGCCTGGCAAGACATTTAAATATTATATTTTATTTTCTTATTTTTATTTTATATATATAGGTGTTTGCCTGCATGTATGTATGTGCACCATGTATATGCCTGTTGCCCTCGGAGGCCAGAGTCGAGTACTGGATACTCTGGAACTGGAGCTACAGACAGTTGTGGATGCTGGGATTAGAACCTGGGTCCTGTGGAAGAGCAGAGAGACAGTGCTCTTCACCACAGGTCTATCTCCCCAGCTTCCCAATTTGTTTATTTGTTTATTTATTCATTCCTTTATTTATTTAATGAGTGTTTTGCGTGCATATATGTCTGCATACCACATGTGTGCCTGGTACCTGAGGAGGCCAGAAGAAGGTGTAGATCCCCTGGAACTGGAGTCACAGGTCATACACTTCCATGTGGGTGCTTGCAATCAAACGTGGGTCCTCTGCAAGAGCTGCCAGCCCTCTGAACACTGAGCCGTCTCTCCAGCCTCCACTTTTAAAAGACACTGGTGCATGTTTCATGGAGGTGGGTTATACAGTGGAGTGGTAAACCCTGCCTGAGACCTCAGGGGCTGTCGGATGACATTCTCAGCCTTTGCGTCGGTGGAGGCTGGAGGCCTGTTTGTACATTCTAGGAGAATGTCCCTAATAGTCACACAAAGGTGGGCAATAAAAGGCACTCAAAAGGATGAGCTAGCCCAGGATAGTTCGGCTCTGGACCTGCTGCAACATTCCCAGTCTCTACGACCATTAAAGTTCTAAACACTTAACCATCCTTGTATCATGTTTGACACAGGAGTGACTTCTTCCTGGGGGCTTCAGTTAACATCCCTGTACTTATAAAGCAAAACAAACACGTTTTTGTGGCACTGGGGATCAAACCCAGGGCCCTGTGGATAGTTTGGGGCAGTTGTTAAGCAGTGTTTCATATTTCCATATTGGTTGCTTAAGGAATTAGAAGCGAACCCATTACTGTAAGGTGCACTGACAGAGAGTTGTATCAGCAGCTTCTCTTTCCTGTCTCTGTCTTTTCTGCGTGTCCATGTTCTAGCTTGCTTTCGCTCTTCAGTGTGCTGGCTGTATTTCAGTCACATCTCTTCTCCTTGGGTACACTGTTTCACTCTTCATTTCTGAGGTGATTTCCTGCTGCTATTGCTTGATTTCAGAGATCAGACCTTCCTTATCCGAGAGACATCTTGGTCATAGTCCTTAGCCAGTTCTGTTCTGAATACATTTGAGACTTAAAAGATCCTCTCCATGTCTGCAAATTCTTGTTTAATTGATAATTTCATTTCTGTCAAAGTGCTGTATCCAAACATGGCTTCCGTGTTTCCTGGCTGTTTGGTGTGTGTGTATGTATGTATGTATGTGTGTACATGTGTGCGCATGTGTGTGTATATGTGCATGTGTGTATATGTGTGCACATGTGTGTGATGTGTATGCGTGTGTATTGGAGTGCATTTTATCACCTGAACAGGTTAGATGACACTGACTTTCCATTTTTGTCCTAAGATAGTCCCGTATAACTTGTCATTTATTTATTCACTTTATTTTTTATTTTTATTTATTTATTTTTTTTGAGACAGGGTTTCTCTGTAGTTTTGCACCTTTCCTGGAACTCACTTTGTAGACCAGGCTGGCCTCGAACTCACAGAGATCCTCCTGCCTCTGCCTCCCGAGTGCTGGGATTAAAGGCGTGTGCCACCACCGCCCGGCTCACTTTATATTTTTTAAAGATTGCTTTATTCTTAAACACGAGTATGTCTGTGTGAGCATGTGCTGTGTGTGTGGAGTGTTCTCAGAGGTCAGAGTCACTGATCAGTCACAGATGGTTGAGAGTCACTTGGCATGTATGCTGGGACTTGAACTCCGGTCCCTGGAAGAGTAATATGTGTTCTTAAGCACTGAGCAGTCTCTCCAGCCCCCATTCACATTAAAATTCGTGTATTTGCCCTAGTCTTTCCATATTTCTGCTTTAGAGCCCTTACCAGGTTTCTACTAGAATGTATGATAACTTTAGCCAAACACTGCCCTCTTCTGTTGTAACAGCAAGGGTGCATGATTTAATTTTTTTTTTAAGGTAGCGGTACTGAGGCAGGGCCTTGCAGATGCTAGAAAAGCACGCTGCCACTAAGCTGTCAACCGAGCCCTTTAAACACTTCCTTTTGAGACCGGTTCTCACTCAGCCGCCTGAGCTGGGCTTGGACTCCTTCTCTAGCCCAGTCAGGCCTGGAACTGTAGCTGGTATTACAGGTGCAAGTGGTTTCCTGAGGTCTTTGATTTGGAGGTGATGGGTTTCTGTGATGTCTCCTTCCGCAATACTCTTTTGGTGTACTCCCATCGGTCCATGGCTCCTCTTCTCTGCTACCCACCTCTGCCTTGCACACGCTCTGCAGCCTCCCCTCAGAAACCTTGCCTGCTAGAACCGCCATTTCTGGTCTCATACGCTTCCAAGCCTCTATTTTCACTTCATACGGGTCAGTGTGCTGATCCCCCAGGTCTCAGGCTTGTTGTTGGCATTGTGTCTGGGGATTAGGGTTGTCTGTGTGCCACGCCATCACAGCGAATTCGCTGCCCTCTGGAGCTGCCTCGGCTGGCTCGGGAAAGTCGTGTCCCTCTCACATGCAAAGCAAAAGCTGTAACTTTCCTTCAGTTGGCTTTACGGGTGTTTTTTGATTTGCTGTCCTTTTTGATTTCTTTGTCCTTTGGAGGATTGATAGAGAGAGATGCACTGAAGACTGCTATTATCATTAAGCAAATCGGAAGCTCAAAAGGCAGTTTGTCACACCCAGTGGCACATGCCAAAAGTCCCCAGTTTGGAGACTGAGGCACATGGGTCACTTGAGCCCAGGAGTTTTAAGGCTAGACTGAGTAACAGAATGAATATAAAAAAGTATGCTATCGAGATGGCTCAGCGGGTAAAGGTGCCTGCTGCCAACCCTGACAACCTGTGATCAGTGCCCGGGCCCCACATGGTAGGTGGGGAGAACTGACTCCTGAAGGATGCCCTCTGACCCCCACATGCACGTGCAAATAAATGTAAAAAAATAGTATCACATTATGAATGAATTATAAGTGGTAATAAAAGTAGGTTTAATGTATAGCAGTACAAGATGAAAAGAGATAAAAATGCACAAGAAATTTTAAAGAAGTCTTGTAATGGAATGGATTTTTCAAACTTGAAAATACCACTCCACCCAGGCATGGTATGAAGCCCGGCTGTAATTGCAGCATTTGGGAGTCTGAGAGAGAAGGTGGATTCAAGGCTAGCTTAGCTGCATGGCAAGACCCTCTAACCACCCTCCCCATAAGATGTATTGCATTGCATTAAAGAAATGTTTCATAAAATTCAATCAGTCTGTACCAATTTCGCTGTGCACAATGAGCGGGTGGCTCATGGCAATGACGTATTGATTTTTCTCCGTGGTTCTTTACAGCTTGCTGACTTCCGAGAAACCATTATGAAGCTGTTGGGATTTAATGTGAAAACAGCAGACAAGGAAGTCATTAATCAGCTGAAGCTTGTCATCCAGGTTTATGAAATCTCCAGCAAATCAAAGACAGCTTCTCACTGTGAGACCGGACAGGACAAGTGAGCAAGTTCCGCCTCTCCTTGCTGTCAAGAACTGACATACAGCTGTTCCTACAGCATCTGGAAAATAGCTACATTGTGAATAAAATGCACCCGGAAAGTTTCACTTAAAATCTCTTCTCTCCTGTGTTTGGAATTTACCTTTGCTTCGTGATGATCTTTCTTTACATTTACTTCTGACTCAGTCTTTATCGTCACTTGTGATATATGATACTTATTACTTTTACTGACTGCATTTTAAGCAGGATATGAATCATAAACACATTCTTAGCTGCAATATTTATAATCATAGTCAGTAGCCCATGTCTTGAATGAATGATTTATTAGATAAACAACCCCCCTTAGAAAAGCGGATAATGTTATATTCTCTTTTTTTTTTTTTTTTTTTTTTTTTTTTTTTTTGGTTTTTCGAGACAGGGTTTCTCTGTGTAGCTTTGCGCCTTTCCTGGATCTCGCGCTGTAGACCAGGCTGGCCTCGAACTCACAGAGATCCGCCTGGCTCTGCCTCCCGAGTGCTGGGATTAAAGGCGTGCGCCACCACCGCCCGGCATGTTATATTCTCTTAATTGAGTCTATCTTGTTTTTTTAATGGGGCATATGGATATCAGACATGACATTTGAAGGGTAGGAGAATTCCTGCAACTAGAACAGGCAATAGACTATTTGTGGCTATCGTCCTAGCATTTAATAGTCTCTACTTAATGTAGGCTCATTTTCCACTTAATAGTTACTTCATTCATTTACATTTGTGTTTTGAGAAAGGGTCTTGCTCTATAGCCCAGGCTGGCTTCACACTCACAGCCTTTCCAATTTCTAGAGGTGGCTTCCTCCCCCACCCCTTGAGACAGGAACATGCTAAGTAGCTCAGACTGGCTTCAAATTCATGATCACACATGATCACACATCCTGAGTGCTGGGATTACAGGCTGTGCCACTATGGACAGCTTCCTTATATTTTTGGCTTATGGTCTTCCTTCATTTTTATTTGTTTGTTTTGTTTTGTTTTGTTTTTCGAGACAGGGTTTCTCTGTGTAGCTTTGCGCCTTTCCTGGAACTCACTTGGTAGTCCAGGCTGGCCTCGAACTCACAGAGATCCGCCTGGCTCTGCCTCCCGAGTGCTGGGATTAAAGGCGTGCGCCACCACCGCCCGGCATAATTTTTTTTTTTTTTTTTTTTTGGTTTTTCGAGACAGGGTTTCTCTGTGTAGCTTTGCGCCTTTCCTGGAACTCGCTTTGGAGACCAGGCTGGCCTCGAACTCACAGAGATCCGCCTGGCTCTGCCTCCCGAGTGCTGGGATTAAAGGCGTGCGCCACCACCGCCCGGCATGTTATATTCTCTTAATTGAGTCTATCTTGTTTTTTTAATGGGGCATATGGATATCAGACATGACATTTGAAGGGTAGGAGAATTCCTGCAACTAGAACAGGCAATAGACTATTTGTGGCTATCGTCCTAGCATTTAATAGTCTCTACTTAATGTAGGCTCATTTTCCACTTAATAGTTACTTCATTCATTTACATTTGTGTTTTGAGAAAGGGTCTTGCTCTATAGCCCAGGCTGGCTTCACACTCACAGCCTTTCCAATTTCTAGAGGTGGCTTCCTCCCCCACCCCTTGAGACAGGAACATGCTAAGTAGCTCAGACTGGCTTCAAATTCATGATCACACATGATCACACATCCTGAGTGCTGGGATTACAGGCTGTGCCACTATGGACAGCTTCCTTATATTTTTGGCTTATGGTCTTCCTTCATTTTTATTATTTTTAAAATTTATTTGTACTTTTATGAGTGTTTTACCTGCATGTATGTATGTGCATCACGTGTGTGCAGTGCCTGTGGAGGTCAGAAGACATCAGATCCTCTGACACTGGAGTCACGGATGCTGACCTGGAACTTGCTCTATAAACCAGGCTAGCTTCAAACTCCTAGAGATCTGCCTGCCTCTGCCTCCTGAGTCTGGGATTAAAGACATGTGCTACCACACCCAGCTCCTTCATTTAAAAACCCATTCTTTATCATGTTACTATTTCTCTGGTTCTTTTACGTGCTTCTCCAGTTTCTCATATCAGACCCCTTGTCGTTACCACTTGCACAATCCAGAATTATGTTCCTATTTTTATTTTGAACTTTTTGTATTTACAGTGTGGAGGAAGCAAACCCAGGGCCCTCACACATGCTAGACGAGTGCTCTACTACTGAACTACATCCCTAGGACTGACTACCTTAGTTTAAGGTCAGTTGATTAACAATTTCAATCCTCTTGTGGCTTGGAACTTAATCTCGTCAGGTTCAGTGACTGGACACTGTGAAGCCATTATTTAGTATCCACTAAAATTGAACATGTACGTGCTTTATGAGCAGGTAATTCCATACCCACATATGTAACAGATGTATATACCTATTCTATGAAAATACATTTACTAGACTTTATAGTGGCATTGTTCATAATTGTACCAACTGCGTATTATCCAAATGACCAACCATAGCCTAAGTTTGGCTACCAGATCCATCGGTTCAGATCTCCTTTGGGGCTGCACAGGGAGATGTCAACTAGAAAGCTGAATTTTCTCAGCACCAAACTAGGGGCTCTAGGGCCAGAAGTAGAGAGGCGGACAACGCGGGTTTGAGGAAGTGGGTCTCCTTCAGAAAGGTAGGAAGATAAACATGGTGAGAAACTCAATGGGTTGTGCTTGGTTCTTGCTGAATGCCTCTCACCGGACAGCTTGGCAACCCTTGGTCAAGAGCTGGAGCTACTTAGAATCTGAACATTATCTCAAAATTAGACAATAAATGTGGCCTGGATCTCTGAGTTCTACTGATGGGGTTGTGGGTAGCTTCCATCACTCTAACAAAACAGTTTCTGTATTTACTGGAGTGTGTGGTATTAGAAGCGCCTGAGCTAGCGGGCACGGCCCCAAGACATACTCTACCCCAGTTCTGTTCTTTGGCTGCCAAAAGTCATTAGGCTCCTGGGATCACCCAAAATTCTCCTCCATCACCTTCCTCTGGCCTTCACCTCTACATGCTCCCTTCCACAAGGAGGGACCCTACCCAGTGTTCTTGCCTGCGGTTCAGAATACCGAAGTGGCCACCTGGGCCAGGGCCACCTTCCTGCTCAGAATTTGGGGTGCGACCAAACTTGAGGTCCTACAACTCCCAACAGTTAACCAAACCTGGTTACTTCTACCGAGCCTGCGCTGGCCGTGCTGCGCTTGCGCGCACAGCAGAGGACGTGACGCCAATCAAGGTGCGGGGTGGTACCAGGGCGGGCCGGGCATGGGCAGAGTTGCGCTTTTGGGAGGTGGTGTGTTGGTCTCTGCAGCCGCCAGTGGGTCGCTTCCCTGACCTTGCTGCCTGTGGCCAGGGTAAGAGCTGGTGGAGGGTGGGGCGACATCCCACTGTCTCTCATCAGTTCAGCAAGACTGGGGTCAGGCTCTAAACGCGAAGATCTGGGAGGGTTTCCAGAACTTTGCAGTGCTGGCAATGGTTCTGCGCGTGCGCGGGTGCAAGTCCCCCCCCCCCCCGCCCCACCTGTACTCAGCTCTGCAAAGATTTAAAATGCACACCTTTAATGCTTTCACAGTTTCTCACGTAAATTAGTACTTTTATGATAGCTTACTACCCCACACCTACCCTAATATAGTCTTTTTTTTTTTTCTGTAGTCCTGGGGATGGAACCCAGGATCTTGCACATGTTAGTCATCCTCTAGTTTCTTTTTCCTCCCTTCCTCTCCTTTTATTTCCTTTGTTGTTGCTGTTGTTTTTGAGTCAGGGTCTCACTCCGTCGTATCCCTGGCTGGCCAGGAACTCACTATGTAGACCAAGCTGGCTTCCAACTCACAGAGATTGCTTGCCTTCCAAGTATTAAAGGTATTAGAGGCTGTTCCACTACGTCCAGAGCCCTTTTCTTTTTAAAAATATTTATATTTTTATTTTATGTGTATATGTGAGCATCTGTATGTTTGTATGTGTGCCGTGTGTGTGTCTGGTGCCTGTGGGAGCCAGAAGAAGGTGTTGAATCACCACGACCTGGACTTACAGGCAACTGCCAACTGCTTTGTGGGTGCTGGGAGCTGAACCCTAGTCCTCTGCAAGAGCAGCCAGTACTTAACACCTGCTAAGCCATCTCTCCAGACCCTCTTTTTTTCTTTTTAAAGATAAATAGGCCCGACGAGTATGGTGGCCATTGCCTTTAATCCCAGCACTTGGAAGGCAGAGGCAGGCCGATCTCTGAGTTCGAGGCCAGCCTGGTCTACAGAGTGAGTTCCAGGACAGCCAGGGCTGCACAGAGAAACCCTGTCTCGAAAAACAACAACAACAAAACAAACCAAAAGCAAACAGAAATATAAGCAGGCCAACAAGACTAGGCAAGTGCTCCAGAGAGTGTGGAGGTCAGAGGAGAACTCGCTGAAGTCATCTCTCTCCCTCCACCGTGTGGGTTCTGAGAGATGAACTCTGGTCAGTTCATCTGATCAGGCGTGGCAATAGTAGTGCTCGCCACCTGCTCAGCCATTGGCCCCTCCAGCATCTTAATATAATTTTAATTAGGATTATTTACCAACCCCCTAAACTGATGAGTTTCTATAATTATTTTGAAATCAACCTGCAAGTTAATATCCTTTCTCTGTAATTTAGCACCCTTGTGCCTTCTAAACACAGCTGTTGGTAGACATGATTTTAGAGAGCCATGAGCAAAAATCTAATATGGAAAGAGAGAAAGGGCTTCGTTTTGCAGGGAAGGGTGGATGAGGAGTTTGCAGGAGAATGACCAGGAACATCATAGAGTGGGTCAGACAGATTGAATGAAGTAGTTTGTATGCGCTGTTGATGAAAATTTGAAATGAATATGCCATTTTTTTGTATCTACTAAGGAATTGTTTTGTTTTTTGAGACAGGGTTTCTCTGTGTAGCACTGTTTGTCCTGGATCTCTCTTTGTAGACCAGGCTGGCCTCACACTCACAGAGATCCACCTGCCTCTGCCTCCCGAGTGCTGGGATTAAAGATAT